CATTCATTCATTCATATTATTTATAATTGAAGACGATACTTGCTATTAATAACCATTTAGCAAGGATTGAATAATTCGTTCGACTTGTAATAACTTTATATCTGTATATTATTTATACTTATTGTTTAACAAATACGCTTGCGGATCCTTGCCTGATATTTTTCACCTCTTACTGGCTATCTTCTTACCTTATACTGTTAACCACATCCTGGATGGGACACTGGGATTTTAGGCCTAAGGAGGAAAGAAAGAGCCCCGAGGACAGCATGTTATTGTAGCAAGTTAGATATATCGTGCCTCATTGCTCCTTTTGTTTGTTTACTTACCATTAGATCTTGTTCCAGTAAATATAAATGTTGTAATCTCCTTCTGCGGGCATAAATCAAATAGAATCTAAATAAACTTTCCTTGGTCATGTAAGCTGTCGGATTAGATAGCTGTATATAATTTGTATGGCTGCCGCTGCGATTTAATCATTTATAAAATTGTAATTTGTATTATTCTAAAAATAGTAAATTATTATATTCTAAATTATCATACTTTTTTTTATGAAAAAAATGTGTCATTTTCAATCTTAGATGATGTCGATTTTTTTGTTTTTTTTTTTTAGTTATGAAAGAAATATGAATTTAAGATTGTTTTCGAACATAAGCATACAATAATGCAGTATAATATTAGTATATGCTTATGATATTTTTTAATAGCTGTATTTTTTTTTCTTGCTGTAATTACAGAATTTCATTCTAAATGCATAAGTGACGTCATCTCAGCCGCCGTAAACAAATTTGATTTATTTCTTAAGCAGTTTTATATTATGTAATATTTGATTTTATTTCATTCAATATTTTCTTTAATACAATCGCTTTATTGATAGGATAAAATTCATTATTTTAATACATTTTGTATTTTTTTTTTTAATTCTAACAAGTGACAAGCGCCTCTAAAGATCGACCGGCGTCCCGGAAAAATTACCCCCGTTGCCCTACTCTAAGGCTGTCACAGGAAATAACAATATGTTCCCATTTAAAAAAGGAAGAGGTCATTAAACGATTACTGGTCAAAGGATGAATCTTAAGGATACCTTAAATAAGATAGGTTTGAGCTGTTAATTCAAATAAATAATAGTTACAAAAGTACTACTTCTTTAACACAACCTACCCTCTTTCTGGTGTTAATAAATTAAAACCATATGATAAGAAAACGTAAGAATTATCATAGATCTAAATAATAATACAGGATGTCTATCCAAGCTTGACTTCTTACTAAGAATCTCGATTTGAAATGTATAATATACAATATTGGTGTAATTGTGTTTAATAATTATCATTAACCAAACAAAAACAAAAAAAAAATGTAGAACTTTAGATTAAATTTGCAATCTGCAAATTTCTTTGCAATGAGCAAATTTTTTGGCAGCTTCACAGCTTCCCATCACGTCCGGGATATAAATCAGATCAGCAGGTCTCTTGGCCAACGCCTACGTAATCGTCGTAGTGGGCTGTACGGGTTTCTTGTACGATGAAGAATTTCTGTCAGGGGATTCATGTTGTACGTCAGTCTTTGGTGAAAGTTATTGTAGTTCTCTTTTGCAGTATCTAAAATTGTAGGTACGTTTAAGTCTTTATGTAGTGTATCATTTGCGACATAAAACGGTGCGTCAACTATCCTTCGCAACACTTTTGACTGAAAGGACTGAACTTTTTTAATGTTGGAAGTTTTAGCAGAGCCCCACAGTTCTATGCCGTAAGTCCAAATAGGTTTAAGTAAAACTTTATAAAGGGTTAGTTTGTTAGTTAAAGATAATTTTGAACGTCTGTCAAGTAATCTGGATAAAAGACCGTATCGTCTGTTTAATTCTATTCGTTTTTGTCTGATGTGAGTCCTCCAAGTAAGTCTTTTGTCCAGGTAAAAACCTAAATACCTAATTACATCTGATGTTGGGATTTTAATGTTATTAAAATATATTTCAGGGGAAGGTTTATGGTTAAGAGTGAATACTACATGCACACTTTTTTTTTCATTCATCTTAATTTTCCACCTTGTGGCCCAATCTGCAATATCGTTCAGATGATTTTGAAGAGTGGTAGATGCTCGAACAGAGTTTTTATCTGAGCTTAGGATTGCGGTATCGTCTGCAAAAGTAGCCAGTATTGTGTCATTGTGTTCCGGTAGGTCAGACATATATATATTAAACAATATTGGTCCAAGGACACTACCCTGAGGTACTCCTGCTTTAATAGGTTTAATGTCAGAACGTTCTGTCCCTACTTTTACTACAAAATGTCTATCCGTTAGATATGAAAGTAATATTAGATAGTAGGTCGGAGGAAGTAAAATTTTAAGTTTGGAAAGCAATCCTTCATGCCAAACTTTATCAAAGGCTTGACTAATGTCAAGAAAAACTCCAGGGCAATAATTTTTGGATTCTAAAGAATTAGAAATATAATCTACCAATCGATGACATTGTTGAACAGTTGAATGATGCTTTCTGAAGCCGAATTGATGATTTGGAATAAATTTAAATATATCGAGAGAATCAAGGTGACGAAGAATAATTTTTTCAAATAATTTAGAAAAGGAAGGAAGAAGGCTGATCGGACGATAGGAATTTGGGGAGTCTGAGGATCTGTATGAATGAATGCTGTAGAATGGATTTTCAATGGATGATCTAAACTTGTTTCAGTCAATTTTTCCAGGTGTTAACGATGGTCGGGGAGATTTGGTTTAATAATTAGATTACCACTTATAACTGTTAATTTAAACGTAAGGCAAAAAAGAAGTGAACTCACTGTCCTCAGTTCGATCTCAAAATATAGATTATAGTTTTGATAAACTTAAAATTAATACATTATCTAATTTAAATTAAAATCATCATGTTTCCGTTTATTATTTCGCTATTATTTATATTTACTGTAAATATGGTGTAAAAGAACTGTTTTCTCATTATTGACATTGTCACAGATTGAGATAACACTTAGTACTTAGTTTATTTTTTTTTTAAATCCAATCTGAGCTACGGCTCCTAATTCACAGTACAAGAAAACAGTGAAAAGAGGATGTAATGTATATGTTGTACTTGTTCAATAAACTCATACGTTTATTAAATTGATTATGTATGATTAAAGAAATATAAAAATTAACAAAGCTTAAGAAAATAAAATTAAAAAAAATAAAATAAAATTATCCCCATAACCCGCACCCCTGACCCCTTCTTCCATAATAAAAATATTCTGGCTAATGTATAGCTTTTTCAAAATTTCAGAAAGGCGATTTAAAAAAAATTCAGAAACATGTTAAAAGATTTTGAAGTGGAACAATGCTGTATTGGCTCCTTTCTAGTAAATTTTAAACAAATCATCGGTTTATTGTAAAAAGTCATTAAATGAATTTTTTATGGTGCTGTACTTTTAAAAACACGTTTTATCTTCAATGGTTTTATGCTATTTATCGATAAAAGAGCCTGTTTACAGTTGATAGAACTCAAAACTTTCTAAAAAAAATCCATCCCTTTTTCATCAAGGCCCATTATTTCATGCGAGTAACTCTCATCTCTATAAAAATGTAATTATGTAATGAAGTGAAAGATCAGAAATTGATTAGTTCAGATAAAAAGTTCAATATACGTTGGCAAAGTCCGATTCCTAGACATATTTTTTTAAGGACATCATTCATAATAAAAATGTCCATAAATCCTATTCTCCTCATTTTGAAGTTGTAATTTAAAAAAGTAACAAAAAAATAGAATACAAAATTATGAAAGACGTCTCCTATACACAAAAGAATACAACCGTTCTTTTGCTCTCTTGAAAAGTATTAATGTTATCATCCGTAAAGGTTCTTGATGAATTGAAATATAATGGTTTTGATTGTTTTAATCTCATTTAATAAAAGATTTCGGCTTGATCAAAACCAATTATCCGCTCTAGCGAAATTCTTACCAAATTGGCCCCAAATATCTGAATTTATAAACAGAAGTATATAATATAATATAACAGTATATAATAAAAGTATATAATAAATATATAATATTTATTATAAAGAATATAATAAAATTCTACTGATGTAGAGATGGTTGACCGTTGATATAATATGAGAAGGAGTTGATCGGGGAGTGCGGTCAAATAAATCCTAAATTAAAAAAATAGTATTATTTAATTTTTCCCGACGTTTCGACCCACTTTGCAGGTCTTCATCAGGGCTAAAAAAGATACAAAACATAGTGAAACTAAAATAAATGAATATAAGTAGATATAAAATAAGAAGAAGTTGTCTGATACAGAAATAATATATACCATCTCTGATTATCTTTTTATTTCTGTATCAGAAACTTCTTCTTATTTTATATCTACTTCTATTCATTTATTTTATTTTCACCATGTTTTGTATCTTTTGTAGCCCTGATGAAGACCTGCAAAGTGGATCGAAACGTCGGCAAAAATTAAATAATACTATTTGTTTAATTTAGTATTTATTTGACCGCACCCCCAGTTCAACTCCTTCTTATAATAAAATTCTACGATTCTTTAAAATATTTAACTAATAATGATTTCAATGTGAGATAAATTTTAAGCTAATTTTGGAAGAAAAATTATCAAGATAGAAGTGAGCCCCAACACCCCGATTAAAAATCAAAAATAAATATTATACAGAACTGAAGAATGCTGAACAAGACCTTAAAATGTACCTAAGATCCAGCACAAGAAACATATTAAACAAAACATCTGTAAAAGTGGGGCTATGAAAAAAAAAATCGAAATTCAGGTATAAAAAATTAAAAGAATGGACACAAATTATTTTGACCAAAAAAAAATGACTGTACTTTGGGCTGTTAAAGGTTCATATAAAATGTGTCGAATTTTAATATTAATAATTTGTTAACGATTATTATGAACTTTAACATGGTAGTTTTAGAGAAGTAATCTTTTTCACAACTTAATTAAAAAAAATAAAAATAAAATAGTATATAAAGTAATGGATAGACCGTTAATAATAAACAATAATTTCATTCTAATTTATTCAATAAATTTTAAATTACATAAGCATACTTTGATACTTGAGTAAATAATATAAAATAATAAAACTCAAAAACTATATATTATTTTCTTTATCATTATATTACAAATCACAACCTATGGAATATTATTCGCAATACAAATATATAACACACTGATATACCACTACAAATATACAAATAATATACATTCATATTTACAGTCTTTTGCAATATTTATACAATAATAATTATTATTTTTTATATATTTATATATAAATTTATATATGTAGGTTATCGCTACTCCTGACTGGAGTTACCCTATGTACAATAATCATAAAAAAAGACTCATATAAATGGACGTAATACTTATCATAAGTCGCCTACAAATAATGACTGAGAAAAGACCGTTCCTTGTATACACAGTACACGAATGGAACACACTAATAAACTTCAATTCATATTCTGAATAGATATCAACTACATTAAACACAAATGATGTAAAAATCTAGCACACTAAAAATCGTGATGGAGGTCGAACTGACCGCCTGTTGCAAATTTAGAATTGATACCGAAAAACCACTATAGCTGCTTCGTCTATCCTAGCAGGTGATGAGAGGTACAGAACCTATTAACTTCTTGACAGGCTAACACATCATAACATACATCTAGATTACCGACAAAATGCTAATCACAATAAGTATGTGGCGTTTGTGAGATTTCAGGGCGTATGTGCTGGCTCAGCAGGTGCTCTCTGCTGCCCGTCTCCACCTGCAACCCAAATATAAATATAAATATAAATTCAATATTATTTTGTCCTCTACTGCATAAATATAAACTAGCATTAAAGACGCAAACTGCTAAACCCTAGATTCATTCATTGAAATTGTATCAAGTTGGATCATACTTAGAAGCAATAGCATTGCACTTTCTAACAGTGCTTAGTCAATTATTCCTTAAATTGTGCTTGAATTATTGTTTTGCTTTGTAAATCTGTTACGTTTTTTTTTTTTTATTAAAATACCGCTTTTTATTTTTAGAAGTAAAAAATTGAGGATGGGATTAGTTCTTACATAATTAGACTCTCCTTTCTCAAAGCCTACAATTATTATTTCGATTTTCCAAAAGAAAAGCAATGAGTTACTTTTTCAGTTCATATCTTCAATTATATATTACCTACACATATAATTATAAACATACACAATAAGTACGGTGATACACCAAGACCGTTGGGTGGATGAAACGGAATACATGTTTACAGCCCTCAGAAAAAAATTATATATATATATATATATATATATATATATATATATATATATATATATAGAGAGAGAGAGAGAGAGAGAGAGAAAGAGAGAGAGAGAGAGAGAGAAAGATGTTTGGGCTATAAAAATAAAAACTGGATAATGAATATGTCAGTTCATTTAATAGTTTGATTGTATATAAATAAAATTAATAAAAAACGTCATGGGGTCTACACCAGCAGTCTTCAAACTACGGCCCTTAAACACCGTAGAGTCCCTCGAAAGTTTCTTTGACTACAACAAATATATTTAAAATATGATATTTAGTAAATCAAATGCGAGGTTACTACAACTTGTTCTGCATGAATTATTTCTCTTAGAAAGCTCATTTCACAACTGAAGTGTCTTTTCTAGAACAACCTCATTTTTTTTCATTACAAGCCGAGGCCTGTGGACCAAACAGTTTGGGAACCTCTGGTCTAGGATAGTCCATACCTAAACTACTTGATTGGTTATTTAAATAAAAAACTATATTCAATATTTAGGAGAAAGATGTTGTCTTCCTGTTAGAACATACATCAACTAATCTTAATTTACTTATCTTCATGTCAACCATTCTTGCAGGAAGACATTTTGTTGAAACGTCTTGGAAGTGATGAAACAAAAAAATAGATCAAGATTAATATTTTTAATACATAATCAAATTAATCCTCTTAATAATTAAACATTTTAAAAAACCCTATAATATCAGACAACGCTCAAATTAATACAGTTACTAATTTAGTACTCCAGTATTTTAACCATTATTATTAATCTTTTATTGTTACACGTCCTCATCATTAAATATTAAATAATTATTTAAATGTTATTATTAATAAGACTTTTATATGTATTTTTTAAATTGCTATCTCTTGAACAATATATAATTTCTATAAATAATTGTTTCTTAATATTAAATAACTTATATATGCCACCAACGAATCCAGGATTTAATTTTGGAGATTTCAGCTTGAAAACTTTATTAAATTAGATTATTACTTTGGAAAAAAAATAAACCAAACATCCATATGAAATGGAGTTTTAATGATTCTTGTAGTCCTATTAAATAAAATTACACGAACAATAATACTTTTAGAGAGAAGTTTTTAATATTTATTGTAAAGACATGGTTATTTCTTATCATTTTGGAGGGGCGCCTTAGCCTGATAGCCCTCCCCCCCCCCATAGATCCGCCTGTGCTTTATGCTTTACCATTTTAACTACATTTTTCGTAATGCAGAGAATCATATGAAAGTCTACTGGATCTACATTACTTCAATATTTGTACAAAAAACCTACGCTTAAGCGTCCAAACAAAGTACGGAAATAATAACCGACTTCCTTCACGCCTATTATGCCTTTGTGTTCCTGAGCGTGTGATAGGAACTTACTCATTTATTTTTAGAATTACAGTTTTAGTTTCCTTCATACACAACGCTCAAAATATGATCACATTGAATTTTATTTGTATACAATAAAGATCTATATCTTATTTTCTTTTTTAGAAATCAAACTTTAAAAGTTAGGAAGCATCAAACTTGAGATGGTTAGGAAGCATTTGGAAGAATTGATAAATATCTAAAATGATTTTAATACACTTCCTATAGGAAATTCTTACTCATTTATAAATATCAATTATACTTGATTTAATTTAATTATAGTACTATCAAAACCAATATGTGGTCTAAAGGAGTGTTTAAATGTTCCGTAAGATTCATTTATATATTATAAATCAATTGGCGATAGTAAAAATCGACCCCACGATTGATGGCGCATGAATCTTTCCACACCCTTTCCAAGGTATTTTATTGCTCTCCTATTCTTAAAAACAAAACTAGAATTTAAAAAGTTGTAGATTATAAAAAATTAAATATCCTACAATCTTGTCTATGTCTAAGCATATCTAAATATACTTCCACTTGTCTTTTTATTTAAAACTTTTCTATCGAAAATTCATTACTTCATCGAAATGAGTCCCCCTCGAAAATTCAAAACCCCGTAAAAATGTGCCCCCTCAAATATTTCATGAAACTCCCTTCTGGGCACCCCTGCTTGCAGTTACCTATTAGCTTATTGCTATTTGTGAAACATATTACTTTAGATCTAAAACGCTATAGAATAGGTACAATTAGATATTTTAATAGTTTTGTCGGAAATTTAATAACGTTTTAAAAACTCTTACCACTACATACTATAGAGATATTACTGTAATTTTTCAGGTTATTTTTTTTTCTTTTGCAAAACCGATTTGGAGTAACACTATATATGAGTAACTTCATATCAAAGAAGGACATCTGTCGCATTTAGAAAGTGGAAAAATAAGTCAATTTTTGTTTTATTGATTCATCTCAAAATGTTTCAGATAATTTTATTTGAGAATGTTTAAGTAGAATCACGAAAATAAATTATTACATTTGGTTTGAATTGAAGCTATATTACAAAAATTAGCTATTTCCCAACTTTTTAAAAATTACAGATGTCCATCTTTGATATGAGGCCACTGATAGTGTTGTGATTATCAAGTAATTTTTTTTATTCAATTATTAGTAATAATGTAATTTTGGTTTTATTAAGGTATTTTTAATTCATTTCAATTATTTGTTTTATGCGAATGGAACATGATTCATAAAACGTTTTAATAAATCAAGAACTATTCCTTATCCTTGTGAATTTCGCGATATTCTATACTTTTATTAAATATTGGTAATTTACGTGTTTTATGGGATATACAACGAGCATATATTGTCTTCCATAACACAAATCTTTAAAATATATAACTTGGATTGGATTTTTATTCGAACATGCAATGTTATTGTTGTTAAATACTCAGTAGTGACGTTCAGGTATATGAATAGAAATTTTGTTGTTACTAGATTTATGTTTTAATTGAGTTTATTACATTATTATAAATTATACAATAGTTCTTTGAAATTATGGAAAAATAAAAATTTGACACCCCATCTACTGCTATTACTGGTCTACACATGTATGGCCAACACCGCGGTATCGCGGGTCTTTTCGATGATTCGTTACGTTACAGCTGACCAGAAAAAGGAATACAATTTTATTCTTACATTATTCAAAACAATAAATCACCGAAGCTTAATTAATGAGATATTTAAAGGTAGTGTAAAGGTTCACTTATATTTAATAATTCTTTCAGTAACAATCAGCGGGACAATAGTTCAGATAGACATAAAAAATCGTAGGTTTGGAAAACAGCAAAATGGCAACATATTAATAAAGTGATGTAAAAATCATCGAAGCCATGTTTATTTGATAGAACCAGTAGTGGGATTTAGAAGACCTAAAGAAACGATTTTTGAGGTTTATATTAATTTAATAATAATCCAATATTTTTTAATAATGTTGGAATAACAATAATTTTAGAAAACATTTTTATATTTTTAATTGACAAGTGCTTATATTTAGTAGCTGATGTACATGCGTTATAATTTGAAAATAGAAAAAGTGTGATTGTTCAGTTATTTGCCTCAGATGACCCATATTGTACATAGGTGTAAATGTGTTTTATTTATTTTATTATCATTCGGCTATAATCTGTTATTTTATTTATCTTGTATATTATTTTATCATTTTATTTATCTATATATAATTTTTTTCTACTTTGGTTATTTATATTTATTTTTCTTTCTTATGTACATATTGTTTGAATAAATATATTGTATTTCTTGTAAACATAGAAAATGAGATCTGTCAGCGGTACCTGGAGATGTCATATCAGACAAAAACAAGATTATTATTAAAAAATGGATCTGCTATTCTTTTAAAAAATTATTTCCTGGTCTTTAAATGTGAATTTTCGCAAATGGTGCTACCATACACTATTCATGTAGTAATAATGGTTAATTATTAATTTTAACATTTCTACAGCATTTAAGAATTTTTGAAAACTTGCTAATGTGTTAAGATCCAGGAATTCACATAAGACAATAGGATATAAAATAAAAACGAAAGCCACATTTTAATTATTTGTTATTTTATTTTTTTTTTTAATGGCATGTGACATTATCTTAAAATTTTAATGAAGTTAGGTAACATCTTTATTATCAGCAAATATATCATCACTATTTGTAGGCTTCTTTAAAAATTAGTTTATTATTATTTTTAAATCATTATTTGATTGTTGTTGTTGTTATTGTTATTTGTTCATCAATACTTATTTAATATTCCTCTCAATCGCATCAATACTAAATATCGCTAGTACCAATGCTCTTCAGTGTGTCAGACTGTATTAATACTCAAGAAAACCATAAATTTTTTTTTTTTTTAAAAAAGCACCCATATAAACAAATATGAAAAAAATTAAATTTCTATTTTTAGTTTCTGGGAGAGAGTAGGAACTCTGATTTTTTTTTTTTTTTTATGATCATCCAATTGTATTACAGATACCCCAATTTTAGAAAAACGTCGTCGGTTAACGAGATTTAAGTCCTAACTAATTGAGTTGAGATTTATTGGGCATAA